TCGACCACCGTGCAGTACCTGCGACCGACAAGTGCGCGTGCGACGTCATGGCACCACTCTCCGACTGCAGCCCCAACGACATGGGCCCCCGCACCGACCACGAGCGTTGCCATGACGTCGGCAGTGCAAATTGCATCCGTTGTCCATGCCAGCGAAGTTGCGGCAGCGAGAGAAGCATCGTTCAACCACTTGTACACCACCTCGTTTGTGGTCGCGGGATGCGTTGCCGCGGCGTGCGTGTTGGCGCTGGTCGTGATTGTCGTGCGGCGGCGCAACGCGTGGGTTCCTCAAGCGGTGCCGACCACTCCTCCTGCTTCCGATCACGACAACTTCCCCCCAGCCCCGACGCCCGTGAACTTCAACACGGAAATCGTCATCGCTTAGCGCGTTGTTGAGTATTTAAGGCATTGATTTTTGTACAAACTTTTGTTGAAAAACAACCGCGTTTTCTTGAAAATATTGAGCATATCCTGCATATCGTGGTTCGCGCCATAAAAATGCACAATCCGGTTTCCTGTCCAACAAACTCGTTGACCCCGCGCCACGGACCTCGGCGTGCTCGCATGGACCCAAAGGAGCGCAAGAAACTCGAGAGACAGAAGAAGAAGGCCAAAGCGCAGCAGCGCAAGAGTTCCAAATTGTCGAATGCAATCCCACCGATGCCTGTCGCCAAGCAAGCTACGAATGCAGGCAACTCAACGTCGATGTCGCAGAAGCGGCCGAGCGAGAATGCACCCCAGTGCGCTGCGGCTCCGCCGACAAAGAAGCAACAGGTGAAACAAGCGAAAGCTCTACCCATTGCATCCAACTACACGGGTCCAGAGAAGTTTCTAACCCCGTCGCATCCGTCGTTCCACGATATCCTCACGCGGTCGTACGTGGGCTTTGTGCACGAACCTGCCGCCAAGCACCCTCGCGGGTTCCACACAGGGATGCGCACGGCCTTTGAGACCCTCCGAGACAAGGGATACTTTCAATACGACGTCGTCATGGCTGGCGGCAAGCACTTGTCTCGAACGTTTGTGCGCCGCACCCTTGTCGGCAATTACGGTTCGTCCATGCGACCGACATTCATCCTGATCCAGTCTCTCCCCAGGCATTACGTACAAATACCTGGGGCTTCGGATCTTTGCGCACGCGTGGGATAGGCCCAACAGTGCTCCCGTCTTCCGCAACATCCATGCGCTAAACGCGGCGTTCATCGCTCGGACAAAGGCTTCGATGACGCCGCCACCTCCGTCGTGCGAGTACAACCTAACGCTGATCAACTACATGGAGCCGGACAATCCGCTGCTCGGCCTCAAAGAAGATCCGACGTACGGCATGGGTAAAGTCAGCGTGAGCTGGCACGCCGACTCGTCCCTGGAAGACTACTCGTCGATCGGAGTGTACCACACATTGCTCCCGAGCAAGCCCGCCAAGAAGGGAACCAAGGTTGGTGTGTGCGACTGGCGCATCGCGATGCGCTTGTCGCCGGACGTTCCTGGAGCCAAAACGACGCCGCCCCTTGTGTTGCCCACGGGCGACGGCGACGTGTACTACCTCAACGGCGACTTCAACCATTTCCATCAGCACATGGTTTTGTCTGGCACGGCCGTGCGCGTGAGCAGCACGCATCGCGTCGCTGTCACGGCAGAAGACACGCTGCAGTTTATTCAGGCCAAGGTCTCCGCGGCCCTCCAGTCGAGCACGGTGCAAAGCGTGCCGAACGATGCGGACGTAGCATGTCGTCGAGGTCACGCCGATGCGGTTCGCGCCGAACAAGCGGTACGCCCTTCGTTGGTACACGTTGTGTTGGAGGACGTTTGAATCGTGTGAAAGTTTGCGAAGTCAGGTGCGTCGCGCGTGACGGTCTTCGGCACATTGTAGACGATCACGACGCTCGAAATGGAGTGGATTCGCCAGTACTGGATCCAAGGAGCCAAGCACAACGATCTCCACGTGGACTGGCAGCACCCGATGGCCGCGCTCGAAGCCAGTTGGCGCAAACTCGAAGCCCGGACCAAGACACTCGTCGGCGCGTTGCTGGCGACGCAACACGTTGAAGACCTCAAGGTGGTCAAGGCAGTCTTGGAAGGTCTCCGCGGCCGCCAAGCCGGTCGCGACCAGTTTGTCCATCGCATGCGCGATAAAGTATTCAAGCGAATCGACCCCGATTTCCAACCCATGGAACGACCTGTGTGGAGCGACTGGGACGACCGTCACCTCCTCCCAAAGGACCTCACGTCGACGATTCACGCACTCCATTCGCACAAGCACGTGCTCGAGGCGGAGAAGAAGAGGCAGTGGAAGGACCATGCCAAGCAGCACAAGAAACAACTACACGCGTGAGATGTGCTGAACGAAACAGAGTCGTTTTTCTTTCGTCGACTGGATGGGCGATCCCTGTCGCGTTGCCGCCGCTAGTTTTCCACGGCCTGTGCAGTCATGGACTCGCGCGCTCCGCAACGCCTCCGCTTTTGACGGACACATCACGACGATCGAGGGGTGGCAGCTCCCTGGGGACACATCGTGCGATGGGGCTCGTGAACACGATGGTGACGACCACAATGCAGACATACTGTCGACACGAACACAACCTGTCGACGGCGATCGCTCACGAAAGGACGTGGCGAAGCCAATCGAGGCCTTCATCGAGTCCGACGTTGTGGACAGCCGAACACGCTTGAATGAACCAGTGGACCTGGCACAGGTTGGCCAACTTCATCTTTTCGACGACTTCAACGGCGGTCATGGCGTTTGGTAGGTCGACCTTGTTCATGTACAAGAGGAGCTTGGTGTGTCGGAGGTCGTGCTCAGACAGCATGCGGTGGAGCTCTTCCGTGGCTTCGCGTAGGCGGCGTTTGTCTGTGGAGTCGACGACAAAGATGACGGCGTCGGTGTCTTGGTGGTAGTGTCGCCACAGCGGTCGGAGTTTGTCCTGGCCACCCATGTCCCAAGCTGTAAAGCGGATGTTCTTGTACTGGAACTTCTCGACATTCAACCCCACGGTCGGAATCGTGTGGACAGCTTCGTGCAGCTTGAGCTGGTACAAGATGGTCGTTTTCCCGGCCGCGTCCAGGCCCAGCAGAAGAACCCGCCGCTGCTTTGTCCCGAGGTCGTCTAACGCAGCCTTCATCGCGACGACGAGGTTGCCCATCGTCGAGATGACTGGCAAGTGCCAAGATCTCGAATGGTGCTGTTGTATCTTTTGCCCTTGGCACGTACTTGAAGTATAATACTGCTTTCGCCTGTGAAACGCACAGTCGAAGGAGTTACCGACTGGTTTCAAACACAATATAAAATACACACATTTAATATCATCATACAAATGGAAGGATATAAGAATCTGTCAAGATATCAATGGGATTTTAAATATAGCTGCATCGATTCCACCGTGTGGTGTGGGAGTAGCGCAGGACGTGCGTGATCCACAGCCGTCCAGGCACGGGACCATGTGCAATGCATGGCGCGCCGCCATTTAGATGTATGCAGAGACGCTGAACGTGACGGAGGGACTTCCCGCGAAGCCAATCGAATTCTCCGGTCGGCAAGACGCTGTCCACAAGGGGACATCCAAGATGCGGGTAGCGGCAACACAGAGTAGAATCGTGGCCGCCGGTCGATTCCAAGAACCACGACCGCATGTCAGACAAAGGATGCATCATTACGTAGGATGGCGCGATGCATCTAGCCAACTTTCCTTGGCAAGATATCCCAGGCAGGCAACAAGATCAAAAGAGGACGAGTGCCGTGCCCATCGATTCAATGGAAGCAGGTTGTACCGCGCTAAGAAATCGCGCAGATCGCCGCGAGACTGTAAAAGGACGTCACGGAGCCTTCTTCTTTGGGCGCACTTCCGACTCGTGCACCGTTCGCACAAAGATGGCGTCGTCGGGGTGGCTACCACAACATGTGAGCAAAGCAGCAGGCCCCATTCAAAGCAACCACAACACGTACTCTTTCTCTCCTTCTTCAAACGTGTACGACGACGCAATCGCCAGGCGCGACCCGTCGTGGTTGAACGCCATCGACGCAATGCTATCACAACCGTCAAATACAGGCTTCGCGGGGAGTACCGGCAGTGCTACTTCGAGACCTCGTCGGGTACCGCGTTGTCTGGTTCTGCAGAAACTGGTTGATGCGCTTCTTGTTATCGCCATCCCAGACATTGATCATGCCGTCGCATCCGCCCGTGGCGAACGTCCCGAAGCGCGGGTGGAATGCAATCGCGTTGATCGGAAATACATACGTTTCACTGTCCGAAATCTTTTCGCGGTGGCACTTGAATGCGTAGCCCTTGCGCGCTGGGTCCACGTACTCGAGCGCGACACGGCCTTCAGTCGACCCAATCGCGTAACCTGCGAAAACGTACCCCTGCATGAATACGATGAATGGTACGACCGTCCTCTACCTTGCGCGTCAGGGAAGAGCTCGATGCACCGAATTTGGTACTTGAGCGGTGACTCGATGTCTTGGATCGGCTCGTTCGTGCGGCGAATGTCGTACAGCGCGATGCGCTTCGTGGAGGTTCCCACGACAACAAGATTCTCTTGCGTCGACAACGCATAGACTTTGCCCGATTGCTCCAGATGGATGGTTCGGGAATTCGATTTCGGATCCCATCCTGAGACACATCCATCCCATGATCCAGACAAGACTTGCCCCGTCAACGCGTTGAATCGAATGTGCGCCACGGCTTTGTCGTGCGTCCCTAACTTGGTCACATGGTTTGCGACTTCGAGGTCGTGCGATCCCACAATGCCTTCCACGCCCCCGCTGAATGCTTGCGTCCGCGTTGCACCGAACGCACATGCCAACAACGCATGGTCTGCGTCGACTTTGACACGCAGTCGGTTGCTCGGAACGTCGTAGAGACTCATACTCTTGTCCCATGAAGTAGCAAGGAGCCAATCGCACGCATCAGGACTGAAGCGCACGCAACTGATGCCGTCCGACGGCGACGGGTGCAGGTGGACCTCTTCCACGGACACTGTGCTGCTCATGGTGCGTTAGGTGCTGATCCAACGCCGCCCGAAAACGATTCCGGATAGTTGATTATCCGGAATTGTGTGCTGGTGCATCCAACGCAATACTAGAGCATTCAATTAGCATATTTTCGACTTGTTTGCTCGCGCATTTTGATGTGTTCACTCGGTTTTGAATGGAATGATTAGAAGATAAAGTTTAAGCTTGCTTGAAAATTCGTATAATGTGTTCTGACAGGCCACGTGTACATGACATTTCCAGATCCAGCAGCGCGTCACGGCGATGGGCGCGTCGTGGATGCTGCTGGCAGAGTTGCAAGACGGGCGCGAAGTGTGAATAGGGCTAAATTACGAGGGCGTGAGGAAGGGTGCTATTACTACAAGTTGGTGCCGTCCGACCGGTCGCTGTAGACAGATAGATCGTCGCTGTTTCGTAGCAGGTTGGACGGATATGCGCCAAAGCCGGGGGTGGTCATGCTGCTTCCTCTCGAGAACTGCAGGCTGAATAAGAAGTCGTCGGTGCGACGGCTCGTCCGTGGTGAAGCAGGCAACGATTCCGACAACGTGTGGCTCTGTCTCGTTCGAGGCGAGTACGTTGGCGACGCCATGTTTCGGTACATTTCGCCGTGAGGACTTGCTCGATACGAGTCAATGCTGTCGCTGGTATGTCGTGCGAACATGTTGAAGCTCGTGCTGCTGACCTTGGTCGATTCGGTCTTGGCCATCGACTTCGTGTCGCATTCGTAGTGCCGCAAACTAAGCACGGGGACTGGCGACTTAGGGTAGTGTTTGAACGGGTACTGTTCCCCCGATACTTCGGTCATTTCAATCATGGTCAAGCCGTCGTTGTCCGAGTCGTCGTGGGTAATGCGCAGGCCTGCATCGTCCTTATCGGACAGTCGCCGCTTTGAGAGGCGGCGCTGGTACCTGCTGTAAGCAATGATTGCAACGCAAACGAGGATGAGGCCACCAACAACGAGGCACGCCATGGCGGGGCCAGACATCCCGCCCGCCGCGGACGGATCCGCCTGTGCCTGCACTGTTGCGGTCGGTATCTGGGTGGGAGGGTTCACTGTAGTCGACTCGTCGACGTGAATGGCGGAAGCTGGAACGGTCGTTGTGGGAGACCAAGTGGTGGGAATCGTTGTGGGTGGCGCGATGGTGGTCGTCGTACTGGGCGACATCGTTGCCGGCACTGTGGTTGTACTGACGGAAGCGATGGTCGTGGTCGGCAGGATCGTCGTCGGCAGTATGGTGGTGGTGGTTGGTGGTGGCGGCGGCGTCGTCGACGCTATTGTTGTCGATGGATGCAATGTGGTGGTGGTCGCAGGTGTCTGCGTCGTGTGAACTCGAGTCGTTGTCGGTGCCAGTGTGTCGTTGGTGGTGTTGGGTGTATTGTCCCAGGAGAGAACGCGTGGGCCAAAGACAGCTCGCGATGCATTTCCTGCACAAATCATGCCTGCTAACGTCGCGACGGATGCGGCGGCGGGGCCACCACGGTTGTGCCACCGAACCATCGAAACTGGATGTGGCGTGACCATCTTGATGACCGCGGGGGGATCAGACGCACGACTTGGCAAGTGTATAGGTGTTTATAACGAGAGTGGCCCCTCTTGATACAGGCACTTGCCTCCACGCAACGCATCGGACACAGACAGGCTTGGTGTACACACATGCGCGACACCCGCGGCAAGGCGTCGACTGGCACGTCCCGTGTGGAGGGTGCTGGAGCGACTCGAACATACACGTGGCAACTCTCTCGACCTCACAGATTCACGTCCATCTCGGCAACGCCACCACCTGTGCTGGTCGGCTCAAGACACGCCGCCCTGCGACCGTTTGCACGTTGGCTTGATATCGATACGGACACGTGCGCAGAACGGTGCGCGCGGCGACAGCAAACGCTGGCTTTTGTTGCGCAAGAGGGGGCCGTCGTCGAGAGCAGGTCGTTCGCTGTAGGACGAGCGAATATGATGTCTCGTGGGCCGCCAGTGTGAGGATGTACCTGTAGGCAAAAACTCGCCTCCCAACCCGTGTGCAAGTAACATTGCATCCGCCACGTGAGGCGTGACGAAGCAGCGTGGTCTTGGCATCGGGATGGCGCTTGTAATGACGACGACGCCATTGCGCAACACTCGGACCACATCGACACACTTGCGCACAGAGCCACACACGCGGGTGGTTGAGCTGAGGCTGGCCTCGACATTTCTCCGCAACTCGGTGGCGTTAAGGATTCAGTGGATGGGACGGCTTGACATTTCAAACGTGTGAAATTCCACGTGGTCATTACTCGTTAGACGGACCCGGACGGCATGCCGCTACCTCGCAGCAGTCAACTCTCCTCGGGCCACACCAGGCCCTTGTTTAAAGAGGCAAACTCTCCACGGAATCCCTTCTCCATGCAAATGCTTCGTTGCATCGGCCACCTCCTTCGGGTGTCGCCTCCATCATCCCTTGCAATATTCCATGGTGAGCTCCTCAAGATGCCGGATAGCCGTAAAATAGTGTGAAACGCGTACCCCGGGGCACATGCTGTGCTTCATCAACAGCGAGCTTTTCGGAGGTTCGTTGCGAGTCGTCCACCATGGCGCAGCTTCTGGACGCGATGAAGGCACTGTGGGCATCTGCACGGACTCGGCTCAATTGGAAGATATATGCAATACTGTGCATCTTGGCATCGTCGGGCTTGCTGCGCCGCGCAGTTGCATGGAAACCACAGCCGACCCTTCTCTTCAGCACGTTCCTTCGTCACGCGGCCGAGAGCAAAGTGCGCAAGGTGTCACTCGCGTCCGACTTCTTCCTGGTAAACAAACTGTGTTTGGTGGCACTTCACGCCGTTCTTCTGCCGTGCAATGTTCACACTTGTCGTGCGAAGGTGTCCCTGAAGCAAGGCATGCAAAACGGCGTCGTCACGTACAAGTACTCCTCGGCATGCTTGCATCGACCCCCCTCACGTGCCTCGCAGGATCTTGGTGCCTCCCCAGACAGATCAATCGTACCTTGTGGACATCCTTCGAAAGCATGGCGTGGAGTTCGGGACGCTGCGACCATCGTGGGCCAAACGCGCGCTGCCGATGCTGCTCACAGCAATTCCCTTGATGTATGACCATGTCTTCGTCAGCCCTCGGCTTCCTCCGTGCTCTCATCCCTTCGTAGATACTTGGCCTTGACGTACCGCATGCTGCAGGGCATGGTCGGTGGTGGCAAAGACGGCGTCGCCAAAGACGGGATCGCACGTGGAAAGCTCAAGTCGTCGTCGACACAGCAGCGCATCACGTTTGCCGACGTCGCCGGGATCGACAACGCCAAACTCGAGCTCGGTACGTCGTGGTGCTAGTGCTTGTATCCACATTCGGATAGAGGAAATCGTGGATTTCCTCAAACACCCGACGCGATACGAAGCGATGGGGGCGAAAATGCCCAAGGTCCACCGCCGTCATGCTTGAATTCTTGACATCGTCATTTCATTAGGGCGTGCTTTTGTGTGGGCCGTCCGGCACGGGCAAGACCCTCCTTGCACGTGCCGTCGCGGCGGAAGCGGGGGTCGCATTTCTCTTTTGCTCCGCGTCCGACTTTGTCGAGATGCTGGTCGGTCGCGGCGCGTCACGCGTGCGCGACTTGTTCACGCAAGCGTCGCAGCATGCCAAGTGCATCATCTTCATCGACGAGATCGACGCGTTGGGTACGGCAGCATGCCACGCGCCGTGCATGGACATGACGTCGTTGTAGCCAAGGCCCGCGGCGGACTCAACTCGAACGACGAGCGGGAGCAAACGCTGAACCAGCTCCTGACGGAAATGGATGGCTTTGAAGGCCACACCGAAGGTGTGGTTGTCATTGCAGCAACAAACCGCCTGCATGTATGCGCTCCATGCCCTGGACGAACGATTCATTATGTGTGGCAGGTGCTCGACCCCGCGCTGCTGCGCCCCGGCCGATTTGACCGGCATGTGTTTGTCGGACTCCCCGACGCATCTGGACGCGAAGCGATCCTGCGCGTGCACACCAAACGCATCCGCCTCGACCCTGGCGTTTCGATCGCGACGTTGGCCCGCCACCCGCAGATCGACGGCGCGTCCGGCGCCGCCCTCGCATGTCTCGTCAACGAAGCAGCGCTCATGGCCGTACGAACACACGACACGATGGTGAAAGCGACGCACTTTGAAATGGCCATGGCGCGGGCGGCTGGCGCCACAGCGCAAGACACTGCGGCAACCACCCACTTGTTTGGCCATATCTTGTAATGACGTGTCAACTCACCGACTCGACGCTTTGTCACGCTCGGCGTGTGGTGCTCGCGAGAATGCGAGGTGCAGGCGCATGCGTAGGTGCAGGTCTAGGAGTTGAAAGCAGCTGCCCCACTCGAAAGTTGGAGACAGCAGCCCCACCCACACTTGGCGAGTGAACGTCGCGCTCAGGGCGATGTACCGACCACCAGCACGTTGTTGCCGAGTCGGGTTCGCATGCCGGCACTGGACGATGTACATGGACCGATTCAAAAAACCTCTGTATTCATGAAATGTGCTACAAGCACACACGTTGCGCTGCACACGCGCCGCCAGACACCACGTCGCGGCGTCGGCGCCGGTTTGTGGGCCGCTTGGGGCCGTGGGCGGCACAAAACCCACCGCGTTGCACGCCTTTGCCGCACCCTGGCACGACGCATCGCTTGCCTCCGCCGTGATACCGGCACGCCTTGTCACCCTGCGAACTCCTTTTGCAGTCGTCGACGGTGCAGCGGACGCCGCCGCCGTGTTTTTTGCATTTTCCCTTGGTTTGGACAGCTTTGTTGCATCCGTCGACACTGCATCGATGGCCGCCGCCGTGGCGGATGCAGAACCCACCCGTTTGAGGACCCGACGGGCACCCGTCAAAGTTGCAGAGGCGCTTGTTTCGGTGCAACTGCTTGCACTCGCCGCGCACGTACGGCGTCACGTTGGGGCAGCCGTCCACCACGCACTTGGTCGACATTGGGTGGTGGTGGATGGCGATCGGGGACTGAATCCGCTCGACCATCGACAGGGTGTACGTCGTCGACGGAGCAAGATGCGGCGCCGGCTGCATCTGCGAACGAGGTGGGGCAGCGAGCTCGACGGATGGGTTGCATGGATACCAATCGTCGATGCTCGGCGACACACACCACGCATTTGGCTCGGTGTACGCAGCCATCATGACCGAGAACGGTGCATTCCATGTGTGGTCGAGGAGCGCCGCGAGGTCGTCGAAGGGCTGGATCGTGGTGGTGGTGGTGGTGGGAGGATCCGTCGGCGCGAAAGCGAACACTTTCCACTCGTCGTCGGCCAACGTGAATGCGGCATCCCACATGTCGTCGACGAAGGAGATCGTGGTGGCGGCAATGCTCTCGCAGTCGGGACCGATGACGTCCATGGCGGTGAACGACGTGGGCGGGAGCGCGCAAAAGGCAGTGTGACGACGACGGCAGCGACGACGTCCGCCCCCCCCACCACCACCTACTTTTTTCGACGACTCGAATGCTTCCAATCGAGATGGGCGAGCTACGGGACGTGCACGATCCGAGCCACGGGCCGTCGTTGGCCTCGGCGCCAACAGTGGTCAGAACATTCCGACTTTGCCCTTGCATCTTTGAACCTTCCGCGGCACGAAAGTAGCCAAAGTTCAAACTCAATGGCGCAACGAGCCCTTGCCTGCGCCCGGCGGCCCAGGCAGTAGCGTCGCAGGGACAACATGCCTGGACGACCGAGGCTCGCCATGGACCGGAGCATGGGTTGGTGTCCGAGTTGACGACTGCAGGCCACGGTGGCAGGCAGGTGCGGGTAGGAATCGAGCTACTTCGTCAAAAGTGTGTGTCGCGGCGGTGACAAGAATGGCTGGCCGTTGCCAGTTGCATCGGTCTTCGCCACCAACGATGGGATGCGAAACACTCGGAGGTCGTGCGTAGGTTGCCATCCCGTCGAGAGCTAGACATGCCCTCACGTTCGTGATTGATCGCCGTGGATGCCGTGCGGTGTCCACGCGGGCTAGCGGGAGTGACGGATGCACATGGTCCGGGGGACGAGCTCCGTGGGGAGTTCGCCGCCTCCCAACATCATGGTGCATCCTTTGGGAGGCAAATGGCACCCCAACGTGCCGCGCGGACCGACAAACTTTGGCAACGGGGCATGCACCTACGACCGTGCGCTCCGTGCCACGACACCTCGTCACGGTGAACGGCATGGCGCACGTCGCCGTCCGAGTGAATTCATGGCGCCTGGATCAGGTCGGACAAAGCATTACTCGGGATGCTTTTCATAAGCCAGGTGCACATCTCGCTCCTCCGTTTTGGTGATGCCGCGTCGACAGCATCGAACGACGGGACAACTCGACGAGGTCAAGCAGCAGCCCCTTCCTACTCTAGCATGTGCGCAACCACGGGGTACACTCCACAGACGCTGCATTGACGTGAACGAGGACGATGGGGCGATGCCGTCCACCTCTGACTCGACATGGGAACGACTTTGGAAAAATTCACGATGGTTGCGCCGACCAGTTCACGCCAAACGGATGGCCCTTGGACGGTCCAGCGCACAGGTGGCGCTTTTGCACACATTTGTCGCATCCAGGAACAGAGCACCGCTTGCGACCGCCATGGGCTCGACATAGCCCGCCTCCTTGGGAACCATTGCAGCAGCCGGGATATCGACACCGCACGCCGCCGCCGTGGCTTTTGCACACTCCCCTGGTTTGCGCGGAGCGGGGGCAGTTGGGAAATTGACACCTTCGCCCGCCGCCGTGCTTGATGCAGTTCGCGCCGACTTGTCGATCGCGGGTGCATCCATGCATGCTGCACTTGGGTTTGCCGCCGTCGGCGCGGCAGTAGCCCCGTGGCCACTTGATCGGGTCGTCGCAGAATGGCTCGAGGCACCGAAAAGTCGTCCTGGGCGGGTTCGGCGGCAGTCAGGTCGACAGAGGGGGTGTCGACGCTCCCGACAGTCGAGTTGACGTGCACGACAAGAGGCGTCATGGGGGGCAGGGCCCGCGTGTCCAAGAGGAACGTCATTTCGTCCCACGAGAACGTCGACCAGGTCGCGCGCGTCGTCGGCATCGTGGCACGATGCGCACGACAAAGTTTACGAGTGAAAATCCGAGTCATCGGGGTGTGAGTGTCTCTGCATTCAACGGCTCTGCCTTGCGGCGTACCTACTTCGAGTTGGCCAACTGTACTATGCACGTCTCGCCGAAATTCAGCACTGGCGAGGACGAGCAGCACTCAACAACCGGGGCGAGATGTGCTGGAGCCAGGCACGCACTAGCATCAGGGCATCGCCCCCCACGCGCTCCCTGCCCGTCCCCTTGTCCTTTTCGCTGGCTCAACTACGAGACCATTGGGCTCGTGTGGTGGTGCACTGGGGCGTGTCGAAGGACAAGCCTCCATCAAGTAATGCGCACGTACTTGGCTCTGAGCCACGTGACTCACGTTGGGCGGGAGGCATTGCGCATCGCGACACCGGCCCCCCACTCGCGCCGTCCCCTTGTCCTTCTCGCTGGCTCAACTACGAGACCATTGGGCTGGTGAAGTGCACGAAGGCGCACGTCCATGGCATGGAGACACGTGACTCACATTGCGCCAGAAGCGAGCCGGTCTATGTGACCATGGCCCGAGTGTGGCACGATTACGAACGGCGTGCGAGATGCCGAGTGCAGGCAGCTGGAGAGATGCGACTTGCTCGACATCATGCACAGCTTCTGCATGTACATGAACACCTTCCAACGAACGTAACATTGCTAGCCAAGACGCGAGAAAACGTCGAGAGCTGGGCGATGATCCGCGCCATCCCCACCACCACGACGCCGCGTGCCTGGCCGACACCTCCAGGCTCCGCTCGCGCATGCACACCCACCGCCTCTACCATCGACTTGTGCCCGTCCAGCACGCGATGGGCCCATCGATTCCTTCGCCGATCGCGTCCCCCGTTGTGCCGCCACCGAATGGCTCGTTGTGGCCATGACATGTCCAATTTCCCGTGGGCATCATGGTCCTTTTGAATCAACCTGCGCTCGATATCGACGCTACAGCTAGCCCAACATGTGCTGGGCCGGGTGGATCGCGTACACGCTGCCGCTCTCGCACGCGCCGATGGCCAAGTCGTCGCCGGTGATGTCTTGCACAACGTCGAGACCAACCCAACGCGAGTCCCCACGAAACCCGAGGCGGTGGTTCATCTGGAGGATCGTCGGGGAGTACTCGTTGGCATGCTTGTCCTTCTTCTTCTTCTCGGACCCGTCAAACTTGCCCACCATGAGCTCGTTGTCGAGGCCAGCCACGTAGCACAGCGACGGATCTGTCGGCGAGAACGCCAGATACGCCACGTCGTATTTTAAGGGACATCGCCACCTACATGCCGTGTGATTAGGAAACGTGAATGGCTGCCGCCTGACGTACACAGCACGAAGCTTCCACTTGCGTGTGTCGTAGATGTAGGCAACTTTGTCTTCGCCGCCGAGCGCGACCGAGTTGCCATCGGGCGACCATGCCACAGCATGGACGCAGCCGAGGGAAGGCAGGCCTTCGCGAGCAATGCGTTGATGGGACTTGGTTTCCCACACCGACATCTGCACGAGAGGAACTGAATCAACCACAGCTCGACGGTTCGCTTCACAGGCCGTGTAGCCCTTCGTACCTGGTTGTATTCGGCCACGACAAGCGTCGATGTGTTCGAGTACGCCAATGCCGTCGGCATGAGCAGTGACGTGTGCGCTCGAGTTGTTTGCAGTGTGTGGCTGTCGTAGAATCGAACGGCTTTGGTGAAGCTATGCGCAGTGGCAAGCTAGAGTGCTGCGGTGACTCTAGCAGGCGCGAAAGGCATCGCCTACCTGACTTGACAGCGGGTTGAACGCTATGCCAGCCCACCCGAGCTCGGGCGTGCCGCCATCACCACTTAGGACGTGGCCAGTCATAGTGGGAGTCGACTTGAGCTTCTTCCTCGACGATTCCCCGCTGGCGCCATCCTTTATCACGTCCACTGCACTGCTAGATGACCTGTACAGCACGGCCATGCCGCGAGCATCCACCGAAGCCACCAGCGACTCTGAACAACTTCACCATCAGCAGGACCAGGACGACGCGATGGCAGACCTTTGTGGGCTAACGACTGAATCTCGGCCGTGTGCAGCACGTCTTCGACAATCGGATGACACTTCGGTGGCTTCATCTGGACGATATTGGAGATGTTAATGCCCTGGGTTCCAAGTGTCACTTTGGCCTGGTCGTCGTCAGACAAGCGAATCGGCGCGTGCGCTGTGAAGACTTGTCGCCCCGTGGCATACACGAATGACACGCCGCTGTCCATTGTTCCTGTGACTCGCAGCCGCGTGGGCTGCACATTGCCTGCAGAAATCGTGCTTTCGCTCAAGATGCCTCGCTGGAGCGTGGAGATTTTCGCAACGACTCCTTCAGAATCAGGGTCTACATCCTTCTTTAAGAGCTTGCGCTCATGCGCCGCCCTGCCCTTCTGACCCTTGTAGTCGATGACAACGGCTCCATCCTTGGACTCGTCCGTGAACGCTTCCTTCGCGGCGTCGGCGGACCTCCACTTCGACATGGATCAAATGGTCGGGAAAATGATTGCGTTGCAGAAAATACTTAAATGAACAAGAGTACTTAAATGAATCGAACGACGAGAATACTTAAACGAGGGCCGCTCAAATCCAAATCTCGCAGCGATGTCGCTGAAGCGGCGAAGCAGCACCCCGCCGACGCGCGTTCGCGACTTTCCTCTTCTCGTCGAAAAGTCCAAGGGAGACAAAGACAAGATGGTGGTGCATCTCCATGTGATTGTGCTCGACATGGATGACCTGCAGACGACAACATCGGCGTACGTGTCGGTACTGATTGCCGACGACACTGCAGCTGCGACGCTTCTGCTGAAGCGGTCACTCGCACAGTGCTTGAACTTTGGCGACATCCTGAGCATCGAAAACGCAGCATTGATCTTCCACAACACCCACTTGGTCGTGAGTCTGTCATCTGCAGGTCGCCTGGAACGAGTGGGGGAATTCACCATGGTGTTCAAGGAGAACCCCAACGTGAGCAACTACGTGTACACGAAGGACCCGTCTGGGCTCATGGTACGTCATCGGGCAATGCACCCATCGCTTGTTGACATTTCTGGCGCTCGTAGGTGTTAGATCGACGACCAAAGCCACCACAGCCACGGTAAAGGTTTTCCACCCTCCGGGACGCACTTCGCCTTTGCATCGGCACGACATACAACACACGAATTCATATACTCAATGCCAAGCCGTCAAATTCATTTTTCTCTCTTCCAACGTGCCACACTAGCCGCGACAGTCCAACTCGACTATCAACCGCCCATGATTCGCCGTGTGTGAAGGCGTGCTCGATGCAGAGTCATGGAATATGGCCACAGTCGTTGGGGCGAGTCCGGTGGCCTTGAAAGTCTGCTTACGTCGCCCAAGCGAGGTGCAATATCTCGCCTCGATCGTTTGCACCACCGGTTGTCCATTTCGGGGCGGCCATGGAAGGCGGTCCTCATTTTTCTCGTTGCGAGTTGCGATGGAATTGGCTGGATGGCGGCAGGCATAGGTGCTGTCCACGTGCGAATTCTACCGATGGAATGTGTCGCTGCTGCGAGAGCACTACCCAGGCCCACCACTCCATGCGGGAATCCCTTCCTCGGACGAATACACGACGTAGCATGACTCAAATTCACTCGCGCAAACTCGCCCACGCACCGTCGTTCCAACAGCTGCCACGACCGTTTGTCGCCGGGCTGCACACACATGCACACCCGACTCGCACTTGCATGAATGGCAAGCTGCCACCCGCATGCTGCATGTAGCTTTCTCCGACGTCTCTCGTCGGAAAGGAATCGTTGTGCGTGTGCAGCATGCCATGTTGCCACGACAGCACCGCTTCGAACGGAACCCTGCGCGCGGCATCGTCGCCTTCGTCCGGCACCAGTTCACGACAAACCACGTCGGACATTTTACCACGTTCTCGTCCCAACTACGAGATGAAGCACTCGTCCAAGTTGTGGTCGCTGCAAATTCCTCGTTCGACAGTGTGGCGAAGGTAAAGCTTAGAGTTCGCCGCCCCCGGCGCTGGACGCACCACTAAACTTACAGTCGCAGGTGTAGGAAGCTCTGTTTGGTCGCTGTGAAGGTCGTTTTGATTGCAACTTTTTCTCATGTGGGGTTGGGCTCGCGTGGCCCTACAACGGGGCAAGATGCACGACAGGCTCACGACTCGGCAGGATTGCTATGCCTCGCGCGGCCATCCCACTGCATGGCTACGAGCGCAATCAGAGACGTGGCCATGTGCGGGAGCACTTTGGCAGGTGAACAAGTTAAAGTGGCTGTGGAGTTGTCTTGGTGTCTTTGGCTAGTGGCTGGTCAGAGTGCACGATGTCGTGGAGCTGGAGCAGCCACGTCTGCAGATTGTCCTGTACATCGCGTCGATGTTGGTCGGATCTCAACTAGAGCCGAAGCGACCGACCTGTTGCTGGAGGAGAAACTCGGCAAAGTCGACGTCGTCGAGGGGCAGGACGTGTTTGGAATACAACATCGAGGGGATCCGTGCCAGGTTCGGGAGGTGTTCGTTCTGGGATGGCGGCGTCGTAGCACTCGGATCTGGAGTCGGGGCAGCCGATCCCGCCTACTCGGTGCCCGACTTCAAGGATGGCGCTCCCATAACGTTTACGTACATCCAGCAAGACGGTCGGGAGGATCTGCTGGCACACCGTGTACAGCGCCGTCGCGAGCACGCGCAGGTTGTGCTGCACTTGGAGGGGAGGGGTCGCTTTGCTCGCCATCGGTCCTTCCCACGGGCGAAGCACCAAGCTTGGCACAACGATTCGCACCACAATGAAGTTGAGCACGACGACGTTGAAACGTTGGGCAGAGTCCATGTTGCGCGTAGCCCCGAGAGAGTTGAATTCCAGGGCACGGCGCTCGTCTGGCGTCAAGAACTGCCGCCGCCATCGGTCGTGAGCCACCTGCCCATCCACACATATCGCTCGACGTACGTCAGCAGGAAAGTAGACTCCGTCCGTCGTCAGGCGGCGAAGGAAGGTTGCAATGGCGTCGGGGGTGTCTTGAGGTTTGACGGTGGTTTTGGCCACTGCATCAACGATCCCCTTGAGCCTGACCTAGAATGCATCCGAATGCGAGGGTTGCACAGCATGTGGACGGCGCCAAGTACCTTGAGTTGCACGAGGGCGTGGGGGGCAGGCTTGGGTGCCGCCTTGTTGGCGAAGAGCAAGGCGCCAAACTTCTTCTTGACGCCAATCTTGGCGCCGCCGCTGCCCGTACCAAAGTTCATGGTCGGGTCCTACCCAAGCGGTCACGGCCAGTCCATGCGAATCAAATGTACCTGCAGGACGGACGCCACGGGCACGCGCATCTCCTTGGCCATCCACGATCGCGTCGCCTCCACGTACACGTCGATCATGTTGGCCATCACTTGCTTCTCTTCCTCGCGAAGGTTCCTCCGACGGACCAAAGACAGGTTTTGTAACCTGACAAGACCAAGCACCGCCACCGCCACGGACCGAAACACTTGCAGCGGCTACCATATCGACGTAAACGCCGAGATGCATCGCGTTCGTCAAAGGAGCAGCTTCGTACGGCCATGGGCGCTTCACCAAACGTCGAGACGACGCCGTTGGCGGCATCTGCATCCAGGCGCCACTTTGGCCGCTTGAGGCCGGTTGTGGAAGGACTCAAGTGCTGCAGCAGCGCCTTGCGCCGTATCGATTCGAGTCGCTTCAATTCCTTCACACACCAGATGCGTCGAGAGGCCCGTCAACAAATCGATTTGAGCCCCACCTGCGCAGCTGCGTCGCTCTGCTTCGTTGTGGGGGCAATTACAATGTCGGCTGCGTCGGTGTCGTCTTCAGGAATGGCCAGCAACTAGACACGCACGTCGTCATCGGCACATCGAGTCCCTCTTCTGCTAGCATTGGTGATCACCTACCTGCTCTTCCTCCTCTGAAAAGAGAACCCCCAGCATCCTGACCGGGGCATCTTTCGTCGTGATATCCTGCTTGGCTTGGTGAAGTATTGTTTGCTCTCGCGACGTGCCCACTTGCTGTGGGGGTGATAATGATGCTGGCTGTTCTCGCGACGGCGAAAAACCGTCGCGTCCGTCCGGTCTGGATGGTGCACGGGATGGAGGGGGAGCCGCAGATTTGATGGCGCCGTGTGGTGGTGACTGGTGCAGTTTTTGCCGCGCGCCTGCCTCGGCCTCTTTTTGCTGAGATGGGGACGGAGCCACCGCGAGAGGCAACTCGATTTCCGGTTCATGTGGAGGAAGTCGGCTAGTTCGGGATGGATGGGAGGCGTCCAAGAGCTGCTCCACCCGCTTCTGTTCATGGAGAATCTGCTCGAGCAGGCCCGCCATCGCGGCATGCTTTCTTTGCTACATGGCACAGTTGGCGCGTGAGTTCGGGACGAAAGCGAATACCTCGTCAAGGTTGTGGAGCTGTTGGTGGATCTCGTGGAGCTGATGCCTACGTAATCCATTTACGCGCAAGGCGGTCGCGCTGTCGACGTACAACATGGCGGCGTTTCGGTCGCGCACGACGTCGCGCAGCGTCGTTTGCTGGAGTTCACGTATGCTCTGGCGAAGCATGTGCTGCTTCTGCCGCTGCTGCATTGCTCGCTGCTGCATGGCCCATGGAGGGTGCATGTACTGCGCGTGCATCGCGAGTGGCAATCCACACTGGAGCATGTATAAATAGCATCTGCCTACAACCTGGCAATTGTGCGAACCGTCATGCGATGGTGAACAGGCAATCGAGGGCTTGCATGGGAAAACAGCTCCACTTCGCGAAAAGCACAGCATTGCAGCACTGGTCTCTGCTAATGCATCGAGTGGTTATCAAAGTCTGACATGTCGAAGCGCTCGACATACTAAACAAAGATCACCGCCGATGTCGCCGCCTTTCATTGTGAGGTCAAGGAGCGCGAATCATCGATGGCCATCGCATATTGCAGATGGCCATGTGGGCGTCCTGCGGTGGCTATACAGGGACCATGGCACGCCGGCTCGTCCGCGGACACGGCGATCTGCTTGGTCATGTCATGGACGCTCGAGCGCGAACATGTTTAGTCGGGCTCAACGCTAGCTTTCACGCGATGGCCCCGCCGTGGTCCCAGACTGCGACTTCGTCGTCAACGACGCCTCGATCATGTAACCTGAGATCTACGCGAGTTTGCTCACCATGGTCCCCCTGTCGCCCCATGGGATCGGTACCCACGAAAGGCATGACTCATCCCCCCACTCGCGAAATGGCATGTTTCGGGGCAGGACCGGCGATGGTCGATCCGTGCTGACGTGGCATTCGGGAAGGCTTAGCGTTCATGGAGGTGGCACCATCGATACTGACTCGCACAAACACGTCGCCCAAACGACACGTTGACAACGAATCGTTCATGTGGCCCTCGCTCGCTGGGGAGGGGCGTGCGGGGAACTTTGACGTCGCCGTCGAATTGCCCTCGACGGCATGCACGTCACAATGCGTAGCCACATCCTCGAGCAACAAATTCCTGGTGGAAAGGCGAGGGGGGGTGATCCAAGGGGGCGAAAGCGACAATGTTCCGTCCACGTCAATGTCCAACCCCCCCCCCAATCTAGTTGTCATCACTCGGCCGCGACCATGATGTCGAGGCTGCTTGCAGTCACATCGCCAATCGTGGTGACTCATGCCAGAACGCCATTCGCGCGACCTTGACATGGTCAAGTCCGAACGTTGAACAATACATCACTGCACGACGGCGTAAAATTGCGCTTGCGATGTTCACGTGGTTCGACGGCGCAAGGAGGCCGTCGCCGTTCGGGAAACCCTATCGTCGCGGGGGATACCTGTTGTCCTTCCCAAAAGTCACCCCCCACCAACATCCTACACATCTTTCGGGTGCATGGGGGGGCGAAGGGGGAATCATTTCTCGACGCTTGGGCGGGCGGGGGTGCATGTGCCGTGAGACGATGGTTGCCTTGATCGTACAACGTCAGAACTGCGTCACCCAACGTCGGCACTGCATCCCGCCCCGTACAAGAAGCGCAGTATCCCTACGTAAGATGGAATTTCGTTGTCGACATAGACAAGAGGTTTCCGAAGGGGCAATTCATGCGCGCCACCGAGCCACAACGACTGTTGCCAATGACACGTCAAGTGGGAGAAGTCACAAGAATCGAGGCGAGTGGGTGTGCTCGTCCAGCTAAACGCGTGTATTGGAAGGATGCCGAGGACAAGCGGGAGCGCCGCCGAACCCAAAGCAAGTTGAACCAGCGGCGGTACCGCGCGAAGAAGGTCGAGTTGATGGGGCGCCTGCAAGACGAAGTGGAGAGTCTCAAGGATGACGTGGCACGGTGGGAAGGGCGAGCGGAGTCGTTGAAGGCAGTCTTGCCTCGGAGCGTGCGCTCGTATGACCCGGAGCGCAAGGTCGCCAGCGAATACTTTCGTGTGTTTGGCCATGGTTTCTGCACGGCCCGGACCGACCCCCTCCACGCGTACCAGCGGGATTTTCTCCATAGCATCATGGACGACGCCATGGAGTTCAACAGCCACAAGGGCCTCGACACTTTACTCGACCAGTGGACGTTGTATGCGTCCGTGTTTTATTCTGTCACGGCGTCGTGGGCTAGAAGCAGCATTGCGATGTGCCACCCGGAAGTCGTGGTCGAAGGCATGGCGAACTTCCGGCTGCGCATGAGCCGCTTCACGATCGAGGTGCTGTTTCCCCACCTGCTCAACAACGAACCGATCGTGCAAAAACTCGTGGGCCAAGTGCTGGAATTGCCAATGCAGTGCCAGTTTACGTTTGATGTGGATTCGGCCAAAGTCAAGCGGTTCTGCATCGATTCGCCGACCGTCGGCGCCCTCATGAACCTCCTGCACTCTGCCGAAGACACGGCCGTCGCCATCGACGGGATACTCTTGAACGACAACGCCGAAGTCGTTCCCGCAGCGCGATGGGGGCTTACGTCTCGCGGAGATGTGTAGTTTCAGGACGCGTGCTTGGAGTAGTCCACTGCAAACTTCTCCCTTTCGCTCCCTCGTCCGTTGTCGACTGGATTGCTCAAGCCGAGCCATTCCATCATGGCTGCACGTGGAATGACTTCAAAAGGTTCGTGGTAGAGCATACTGCTGCGGGCTTCGACCCGCCGGGTCCGAGGCTGGGTCTTACACGCCGTCGGATCTGTTCGTCGACGCCAGGGGCTCCCTCTAACGCAATTCTTTCGCATGGACGACACAGTCGAGTTCACAGGTTCATCAAATGAACATTCCGTTGACTGGACCATCTTTGCCGTTCCAACGTTAATTTCACACGTTTGTATTGTCCATCTACGACACGAACGCATCCTGGAGGCCGCAACGCGTTGGCTGACTGTTGCTGCTGGGGAATGAGAGCGAGGGGGGCGGCGGCGGCGTTCATGCACGTGGGCAAGGGGATACTGCTAATGTGGGGGGCTGGCGCGCAGTGGGCGAGGGAACGGACCCGCAAGGAACAACAGCAATCGAATCCCACCTGCCCTCGACGCTGCTGTGGCGACTGTCCACCCTTGGCATGCATGTAGAAGTGTGCTTCGTATATAGCCGGACAAAAACGAGCCATTTCGACGATGTGCTGCTGTGAATGCGATCGAATCGTTTCCAAGATCATGGGCGATGGAGACAGCGGTGCCGACAGGGTTTGATGCCGTCGTGGCGAGGCTGTGGAACCAATTCCCTCCAGGCAGTAGCAAAAGAATACTATGTGATGGTCCATGCTGTCATGTGGGGGCATTTGTCGGTGGTTCCATCACATGAGCCTAACTAGCGAGCGGCATGGATTTCGGCCGGTCCAAGCAGCAACAGATCCGTGCCGTTCCTGGTGAAGCTCCGCCATGCGCTCCATTTCGTCGGTGAAGGAATGGCGCTAGATCGAAAGGCTGACATCCCCTCACGCGTGCCAGCAGTTCGACGCAGCTCCAACAGCTTGGGGTCACGCGGCACAAGCTTGCAGCTCCGCTCGTTCGACGAAATGACGACCAAGAACTATTGAGGAATCCAAATCAACAGCTACATCATCCGCGATCATATCGCGAGTTGGACATCGAGCTGTGGACGGAATACGCTAGTTTGTTTTCCATGGAATCCCGCACGTCAACCAAGGTGGAGTGAATGAAAAGCTCGGGGCGGCAATTCATCCGTACATGCATCAACTTCGTTGTTGGTGTAGTTGTGGTCAAAGGGTCGGGAACGTGTTGAGCATTCTCGATTGCTGGGTCTTGAGCGCGACAGTATATGCCGACACGTAGCTTGGATATGGCGCCGTCTTGAGCTGGCGCTAGTGTACCAGAAGGCCATGGGTTCGTGGATTTGGCGACTCCATCCAGCAGTGCAACAACTCCGCCAGGCACAGCAACAAGTGGAGTCTGTGAAATACGAGACGATGGATTCAACTTACTGGAAAAAATGTCATCTAATCCAGGACGAAATGGCCACCCTTGCCCAAAGAAAAGCTGGCCAGCGTGTCCAAGTCGGCGCGGTGCTCTCGGTTGACTTCTCGGACGATGTCCTTGATCGAGAGCATCCCGATGATGTCGTTGTTTTCATCCAAAACCGGCAAATGGCGCACGTCGCTGTTGAGCATTTTCGTCATGAGCTGTTCAGGGGATTCGTGCTCCTTTGCCGCCACAAGTCGGGCTCTGTGCGTCATGATCTGTGACACGAGTGTCGTTTTGGCAGTCAATCCTTGCAATTCGACCTTCTTCAGGTAGTCGCGCTCGCTAACAACTCCGACAAACTTGTTGTTCTCGTCCGAGACAGCCAAACAGCCCAAGTTAATCCCCGCCATGCGCGTGATTGCGTCAAACACAGTCGCGTCTTGCTGGATCACAAAGTTCACGCCGAAGTAGCACGACTTTTGCATCATGTCCTTGGCAGTACCCTTCTGGTAATGGAACCGACGGGCCAGCGTCGGACACACTATGTGACTTCTTGCAGCCTTCTTTAGCATCAGTGCAGCGAGGATGGGACGCATCATGGCAGCGGCGGCGGTGGCGAGGGACGGTCCGACAAATGCGATATAATTTCGGAAATGCTTGTTCCATGAAAAGTGTATCTTTGCAAATGTTGACAAAACACGCTCCGTACTCATGTTCCCTTCAAATTTCGAAAGTTCTGATTTTGTCACTCAAAACGTTTTAAATTCGTATTATCCATTTGATGAAAACGATATTTTTTCGTAATGGAGTAAACATGAGTGTAAAATACAGGAATCTACAACTTATTTAAAATTCAACGAAATGAATAAAAATACAATGTTCTGGTTTTGTCAACTGTGGGCCTGGTTCCCTTTTGATATTAATAGCCTTGATCAATTGATACGCAAAATGGCGACGACCGCGCAATTTGCTGGACGTCGACCTCTATAAACGAATATGAATTTCAAAGCAAGCGTTTTGATTGGGCGAAATTCTTCTCACATGACGACCCCCGACAAGCTCAGCAGGGTCGTGGCGCGCGCTACACCAAGGCTTCGCTGGCCCCGACAAAGATGGTGTTTTCGTGGTCTGGGATGTGCCGCGCCGTCGCGAGCACCGTCTCCTTGCTGTGGCTGTGGAGAAGGGACTGGATCGTCGAGCTGAGTGAGGGCGCATTCACAGACGATCGCCGCCTGCGGCCACCTTGGGGCACCACCTGGGCCGACTCTTCGCCTTGGTACAAGTATTGGTTGAGCGATGCGTTGGACAAGTCGGCTTTCTCGAACAAGTTCATAACGAACTGTCGCGCCGAGAGACGATAATGGTACCGCGCCAAGATCGTATGCGCTGCCAACGCGGTCTCCGTGTCCTCAAACAGCTCCGGGTGCGCGCCCTTCATTCGATTCAACGATGCCCCGGCCTCCTTCTGAGAGATCGTTGAGCTCAAGTCTCCAATGAGCCGCAAGATTTCTTTTGCTTTCGCCGACGCCTTGCCCGACTTGATGAAGTTCGGGGACACGAACGATGTTGACAGGTCGACGAGTTCGCTGGGGAACGGTGTGTGTGACACCGATGGCCACTCGAACAGGGACGCCACGTTGTTTGGCACAGCAATCGAGACGTTCGAGCCTCGGGGCGCGATCCAGCCAGCTTGCGACAGCGCACGCCGCCCCGCACTGGACCTACTAATCAACCCAAGGGCAAAAATGCTCGTCCCCCGGAGGCTCAGGAGTTGGCATGACGTGGCCATGTGGACGATGCACTCAACCAAGTCATCGGCGTAACTCAACAGCAGCTCAAACCTACAGCGGACCATCCATATTCAATGCCACGAGCTTTCGCCACAATGAATCGTGCAGCCAAATCGCACTGAACTAGCAGCAAGGACAACTGAAGCACACAACTTGAGCGGCAGGACGGAAGGGCGGATTCGTGCAAAGGGCACCAGCGGCAAACACCACGGCATACGCAGCACGACGTACCCTCGATTGGTTCCAGCAATGTGGCCGAGCGTCCACAGTGCCGCGCGCTTCTCCAACGGGACGACCGTCGGGTCCTTGAGCGAAGCCACGAGTTCCGACAAGTGACCAGACTGCCTGAGGATGGCACACCCATCTTCGGTCTTGGCGAGTTCTCCGTAAAAGTGCCGAGGCAGGGGCACCGTGGGCGCCTTGGTTGGCAGCAACTGGATCGTAAACTCGACGCTTTTTAGTTGCACGCGCTTGATCTGCTGGTTGTCCGTGTCCATGTCAAAGGTCCAAACAGCGCGCTCGCCGGCGGGGCATAATCTTGCCTCCTTCTCCGACCCCGATGCGTTGGTGTTGATCGCAGCGTTGAAGAGGACTGCAGCCGTGCGATGCTCTGGCCCGCACGAACTCCAATCCTTGTTCTCTTCTGGCGCTTCGTACGCCGTCGAGCTGTCCATGCTGAACTCGGACAACCGATCCGTCACCCCGCGGCTTTCCTACACGACAAACCAACGCCACAGTTCAGGTCCTAGACCCCATGACGTTGGGACGATAAATACCGTTCGAGACCGAATCGGTGGAGCCGTCGCTGACGCGGCTGCGACAGCCGACCCCGGTTCCTTGTCATTTGGGGCAGGGAATCCGCCATTCGTCGTCGGGGCGGGCCGAGTGTGGCCTTTCCGATCGACGGGCTGGGCGCCCAGGAACAAGCACGCTTGCAGCGTTTGCTGGCTGTTGACCATCACTGGTTTCGGGATGTTTCGAGCATCGACGACAACTCCCTTGATGCGAATCGTGCTCAAGGGATTGCCATCCGAGCTGGATGGCACGTCCTGGCCAGTCTGGCGATTCCCGGCATGTTAAGACATGTCAAGCGTGCCATGGCCAGTACCTCGCTGGCATCCACAAATGCATCGATAGTCAAGTGCGCCGGCGGGCCACTGCCGGGGGGTCCCACGAGCTTGACTTCGATGTTCCATGGCATGCGGAAGAGCCACTCGAGCCCTGCATGGATGTCGACCGAACACTTCATTCACACTGCCGACGCTGGCGACGTGCTTACCCCATTGTTCGCGATGCGGACCGTGCTTAAAGTTGGAGCTGCGACGGTTTGGCACTGTGACTGGAATCGGAACGGGCTTGAGCGCCGCCTTGGACGCATTGGTCGTGACGCTCTGCTTGTCGCGGAAGACGCCACAGAGCAATTGCGACTCGACCAAGTGCACGTACTGAACGTACTTGACCTGGCGCCACTGCATCAAGTTGGATGAGATCCAGTTGGGGACGTCCTTGAGAAATGCCAGCCCTATATAGAGAACGGCACGTTGTGGAACGAGTGGTCGAGTGCATTGCAGGCCGATGGACGCGCTGGCGCACTGGTCAGTACCTTCGGGAAGGGAAAGAAACTTGAGCAGGAGCGACTCGGCTTGCAAGTGCACGAATTGGAGCGATCGCTTCTTGATCATGGCCGATAAGTACACGGGCGATTGCTCCGCCGCTTCTTCGAGGACACTCAGCGCCGCGCGGGCGACATTCGGTTCTTTGTCGAGCTGCGCCACAAGACTCTCGATGCCCCATCGCTCAAACCCTTCGATCTGCGGCATCCGTGAGGTTTACTAAATATATTATTACGCGCACCTCGGACCGCAGCAACGCACGCAGCAAGCACGTCGCGTACAAGCGCAATGACTCGGACCCATAGTTCATCCAATCCGTCAAGAGTTGGCGCGAGCTGCCTTCGACGGTGTAGTCCAAATTGGCCAGAATCAACCGGCACAAAAAGTCGTGGCCTAGACAGATCGTCAAGCGCATCACGCATGCCACGAATACACCGCGACGTACTTTGGCTCTTGTCCTTGACGGCGCGCTGGCTCTTGGACAAGTCCAAGCTCGCAAACGATCCCTTGTCTTTGACTGTGCCGAGCTTGGTCAGCCTCGCAAAGATGCGCTGCATCATCTTGAGCCCTACGTCATGATGCATGAGAAAACCAAACACTCCAGAGTATGCCATGCACACTGCACATATACCTTCAGGCGACGAGCTCATGAGGCCAAGCAGCGTAAAGTATTCGCGAAGCATGCGGCGCGAACAATATTCAGGACTGCAAAGCCACGACTTGGTGTAGCATGACCGTGACGAATCGACAACGACGTACCTAAACATGCGAGACTGCAATTCCCCCAAGTGCGACTCGACGATCGTGGCTTCTGGCCGTCCTTCGAGCTCGAGGGCCGTCGAGATTTCGTTGAGGAGTTGGCCTCTGCACCCACGCAATGCATGCACGACGGACGGGTGAGGCTTTGTTCGTTGTCGCGCAATAGCACGTACCGTCGATCCGTTTTCAGGAAAGCAATGCCTTCTGGATGATTCAACAGCAACGTGTACATTTGGCACGCTGGCCGCAAGTACGGGACGTAGTCGGGGGTCCATGGAAGCCCCGCAAAGAACCCTTGGGACGCATGACGCACGTTCCCCGTGAACTAGCATACCTTTGTCGCTATTGTCGCAACGGAAAAAGCCCGACACGCGCTTGAAGAACTTGGTCTTCATCGCTTCCGAGAGTCGGGCGGGGTTGGTCAGCGGCCCTTCCAGGAGCTCTGAAATGATGTCCCAGTTCCACCGAAACCAGTCTTTCCCGTACAAGACGCGGCTTTTGTGCATGAGCAAGTCCCTAGTCGGACGCGGTCGTGACTGGAGCGAGCCAAGTCTGCGCAATGTACCGAAACGTGTGGTCGTCCATTTGGTTGTCGAGATGCACCTTGAGGTCGTAGACGAGCATTTCCCGCGCGCTGTCGCGCTGGCTGTGCACGTTAAAATTGTGCAACGGGCGGTTTGTTCCCCGAAGCAGCTCCGACGCGAGATGGACTCCGTTGACGGTGCTCGGGTTTTGGCGGGTGACGAGACCTCCGGAGCTAGAACTGGCCCCGACCTACCCACAATGACTCCATTTGCTTCAAGGGACGAGTCAGCCACGTACTGCGCGGGCCAGTTCCGCGAGCATCTCGGACGCACGGATCGCGTGCTCTCGCTCCCCGCGGTCCTCGGGTGGTTTGGATTGCAAATCGGCAAGGTAGTCGACTTTCGAGTACGCAGTTGTGGCAACGAGTTGCGGCAGGGCCAGTAGCATCGCGCAGTGTTGGTCGGGTAACAACCGGGCACTTAGGTGCAGGACTTCGCTGAGCAGTTCAATGGCAGGTTCTGCAAGCGCCGATCGATTCGCGCACGTGCCTGCACAAAATCGGCATGAAAAGTACGCCATGGAGTCCATCGCCCACGACTAATGTCATCCATAGTCGGTGTACCTAGCGCAACAAGGGCTTCCAGGAGGCCGCAGTGCCCCAGCGACAGCAGCACCAACACCATATAGTTGTCCAGCAAGTTGGTTCCGCCATGCGTCGACACTATCGGCTTGTCCGACATAGCAAGTCCTGCTTTGGTCGGATCCATTTGGCTCCGGTCGATGTCGTTGCCGTTCTAATGTGGAATGTACCCTTCGGCGGTCCCGCGAGACGACCCTACCTTGTCGAGCGGGGCATTCGTGTAGAAGATGTCGCAAATGGTCGCGAGCACGACCTTCTTGACGTCGTCGCCGACGGGTTGCTCCAGCATGCGCACCAACGCCCGCAGGCCTTGTGGGTTCGCCGTAAGGACGAGAATGCCCTGACGAGAGCGCAGTGAAGATGTAGTCTGCCACGATCCGAGATACCGTCCACGACCGCATCATCATGACAATTGCGTTTCGGCTTGCCGTCCATCGCTGCCGCCGCTCGGTGCCGGCAGGAGAGTCTGTGTCGGTGAATGGCGCCAGCAGCACTTGGACGTTCACGAACGAGTGAATCAGGTTGCGGTTTGCGGGCTCGTTGATGAGATATATGAGCGTCATGAGCAGCGCTTCAGCAATATCCTAGAGGTTGGAAACAGTCGTCAGAACGACGCGGCACAAGGCGCGACGTGGCGAGAGCAGCAGACACACCGCCATTGTAAGCGACATAGATAAATCAACCGACTCTGGCGCGAACGCCGGCAAACACAGCATCGCGCTGTCATCCACATCATGTGCCTGCCACTGCTGCCACGTCGAGCGCAAGATGTACCTGGCATGTTGGATCCAGAATGCAATCGACTAACGTCTTCATCCCATTGCACTGCATGACGACAGATACGTTCGCAATGGCGAGTTCACGCAATGTTTCCAACGCTACGCGGCGCAGGTTGTCTTCCTTGTGGTTGGCAATAGCGACGATGGACCGGACGACGCTTGTCGGCACCTGCAACGCGTCAATGTCCATGAAACGACGCACGACCTTGAGCGCCTGGATACGCTCGCCGACGAGTTTCGCATCTCGTTCCATGCTTCTCGATACAAACAAGTGTACACCCTGCTCGACATGAGTCGTCGTCCGTCAGCGCATCGAAACGACGTACGAGCTTGATGGCTTGAGCCGTCGACGCGCTGTTAATCATCGAGTACCGGAGCACACGAAGCGCTGCCGTACGCACCGACGTGTCGGTATCGGACATCAGACCCCTTGCGCAGTTTTGAATGCGTTCGACGGCAAACACTTCCAACAGCATCGGGTCCTTCTTCATTTCCTGTCGTCGTCAAAGCACACACGTCACTCCACGAACGACATTGCAGTCCATCTCGCGCAACGACGTACATGCGTGATTCGCCCCGTGGCCTCTAGCTTCGTGCGGCGGTCGAGTCCCCCTCGGTCGATCAGCCGACATGTCGTCTCGAGCACTTGATACGCGGCCATTTTTCGTATTTGACCTGACGGCAATTCTGCATTACAATCGAATTGACCAATCCCAAGGCTTCCATTTCGACCAATCCGAGCTCGAGATTTCGTCGACGGGGGATCGAATTGGCTGCATTTTTGGACCAATCCGAGCGCAGGTTTTCGTTGTCGGATGCGCGTGCGACGGCCGCCGTGTCCATGAGGTGCACGTGTGTGGCCGCCACAAGCGGAAGATGAGTACCTGAGGCTTCAAGTAGTTCGTAGCTTCATCCACACCGCGCATGTGCCCAAATAGTCTTTTTCCCGCAGTGCCTGCGTTTAGAAGAAGACGGTGGAGACACAAACACCATGCGGGAACGGAGGATCTCTTACTCCGGTTTTGCTGCAAATGGGCCCACGAGTTTGCGTTGCTTGCTAAGCTTTCTAGGTTGGCCGCGATCCGTATTTGCCGTTCTCGGCAAACTCGGCGCTCTGCTCACACGACATCCTGCCAGCGTCCAGCGCAGCCACTGAACGAGAAAAGTACTTTGAACAAAACATGCATGCAACCATTATCTCGTTGCGGCAGGTCAGTGGGGCAAGATGCTTACACCCCCCACGCGTTCTTCAGCAACTGATCAAACATACTGTCGTCAGGAATCGCGCGAGACACGTCCTTGTACACATCGACAAACTCGCTGCGCGAGATGACCCTGGTTGGGTCCTACAAAAGCCGCTCGTTGCATCCCATCCACGCTTCTTGGCACTCGTACCTGCGTCGGCCACAACGTGAGAAAGTTGACGTTCTTGGACTTGACGTTCTGAAAAGGGGCCTCGCACCCCTTGTCGTAGGCTTGGCGCAATACCGTCGGCGTCACATCGCCGTACGCGCCAGTGAGACCATCGTACGTGTCATTCACAAGCTCCTTGCGGGAGGGAGACAGGCTCTTGCCACGTATGGCATCAATGAATGTAGTGAGCCGGACAAAGCCTTTCTTTCCCTACCATACCATCCCGCACCATCTTGTCACAAGCAAGCATGCAACGATACAATCTACCTCGTCCAACGCAGAGAGCAGTACGTCGTAGTGATCATCGCGCACGGCCGGCCCATCGCCGCTCTCCAGTGCCTTGATGGCCCATTTGAGATCCTCCCGCTCCATGAGCCCCGTGGTCTTGGCGTCGATAGTTTGGAGAGAATGTACGAGCGCACGAACATAGAACACACTCGTGCGTGTCAGCGCATGGACAATCAAGTCCAACACGACGTCGGGGGTTACTTGGACCGGAAGGTCCCGATCGTCTTGCGCCGCATCGGGGGTTGTCGCCAGCGCAAAACGCCACAGATTCGGCGACAACGTTTCCTTGGCATGCATGTCGGCAGACCGGTCGCCCACGCGTTCGTGGTGCAGGTGGAATGACTTGCCATGTCCCTTGACCGTGGCGCAACAAACTTCGGTTTCGTTGCCAAAATCTGTCGCAATGACGTACTTGGCATCCGCGTGAAGGAGAATGCCAGTCATCTTGTGGATGATCCCGATGTTGTCGTGCGTCGAGATGGGCGTAGACGTGGCGAGGAACTTTTCCGCGCCGCTGGCGTCGCCCCGCGTAGCGATCCACAACGTCGAGTTGTCGACGGCTGGGCTCAGCGTCACGCTCTGCTGTGAGCTGATGGGGCTCATTGCACGTTCGCTCTTGAGAATCGATCGAAGGTACAGAGGAGGAAGCAGCGAATTCGTGGACTGGTCCACGCGCAGTACTTCGTTCGCCATCAAGCGAAACGGGTCACCGTACTTGACAACGCCTGACGACCGCTCGGACGGACCCACGAGCAGAAACGTCGATCGCGCGGCGGCCTGGGCGGGGCGTTTGCCAACACTGACGACAAACTCACCGGACCCAGTGTACGTTTCCTCCCACACATCGCTGGACAAACTCCCAGACGTTTGCACGTGTTCCACCACCACATATGAGTTGTAGCGCAAGAGGCCGTCTTCCCAGTACGATAACGGCACGCGACCGCTCGCTTGCTCTATTTTACGACGATACGCAGTGCCAAGCCCCCCTTTGTTCTTCTGTGCGCGGTAGTCCTTCATGCGTGCTTCTTCAAGCATGAGATCTTCATTCCAGTTCCCAATGCGGGTCGTGGCGCTGTAGCGCCCTGCCCCGACGAGTTGCTGCGGCGTGAACTGCATTGCAACGTGAAGTGGCGCGCCGTTTCAACAAAATTCTTGTCCATATTTGGATCAGGGTATCCGGATATATCAGAATATCCCAGTATCCGGCGCACGATTTTTGACAATATGGTCCTCTGCGTGTTCACAAAAAGACATTGACATTGTCAAAATGAATTTGTTGAAATGAGGTAGATTGGGTTAAATCGTAAAATTCTTTTCATCAATGCCAAACATTTGTCATGCAAAGTGCAGGGGAGTCCCTTTCTTCTTGCGTTGACGCCTTGTTCGCCTGTACAGCTAACGAAGGAGTTTAAGGGACACCGAAGTTAACATTTATTTTGTCCAATCAAATATTTTATACAAATAATAAGATATGATTGGCTGATTTTTATGCGCGGGAAAACATTTTAAATGAGCGCGAAAATACACTTACAGCCAAGAGGCCATTATCCAATGCAAGCCAGTGACACCACGAGGCCCAAGACATCAAGACGGCGTTACCCTGCCGCCTTCAAGCGGGAAATGGCTGCCACCTACGGGCAGGTAAGCGCACGTGCGCTGGACGCCATGACTGGCATCCCCAGGTCCAACCTGTCAAGGTGGTCCTCTCAGAAGGACAAGCTCCAAGCGTTCAAGGGCAACAAGAAGCGCACAAGTCTGGGTGGCGCCGGGCGGCCAACCGAGATCCCCGACGCTGATGGCCTTCTGGACTTCATGGGGAGGGTGAGAGAGGAAGAGCGTGCCTTGTCATCTACGCACCTTGTCAACTACATCAAGTGTCACCACAAGGCCTGGTTGGACGCATACCTGTCCACAAAAAGACGTGGATATACGTCCTTGCTCCGGCTGCTCCAGCTATTCTGCCACCGCCATGGCTACAGTCGACAGCGTCCGTCAAGATCCAAGAAGAGATTGGTTGACCTGAAGCGGGATCAAGAAGACTTTGTGGCCAAATTCAGGAGATGTGCCGATGGTTTTCGCCCTGAGTGTGTCCTGAACGTCGATGAAAC